GCCATGCGGTGTCGCTACAAACGCAGTATTTTTGAAAGTTACATAAAGCCCTTTTAAGCTCTCCTAAAATAAAATCAGTGTATATGTTTTTCTGAACACACAAACATAGTCAGCTAGTGTTTACATTTACCTTCACAATAGTACTGGATATGATATTTGTGTTCAGGGCATGAATTTACACACCCTGCAAACTTTCCCCAAACGCATGTCCCTGTTTTAGATGGACTGGATTAGTCCGTCTTAAATGTAAGATGTAGTAGTACATGATAATCAATTCTTCTTCATTGAAGCTTGTGATATCTGTTATCATTGTAAAACACTGGGCTCTACTGGTATTTGACTGTTTGTGTCTTCTCTTGTAAAGATTTGAGGTTTAGACCAGAAGGAGGAGATGAACTGATTCCTTATACTATAATGATGATTATTAAAGGCTTTATGTGTATTGATCTGAACTATTTGCTTTAAAACATGAAAGATGCTCCCCACTTACAGAGCAAAGAATGCCTCTGTGCCTCACTTAGTGCACTGCTCTAAACAATATGTAGACAGTTAAGCTAATATTGAATACAGATAAATCCTGGATGAAGTCAATGTTCTTGATGATACTACAGTCCTTGATATTAGTGCATGCTGACAGGTCACATCTGATTGCAGGTTAAACATTCTGTTTAAATATCTCTGCACAGCCCTGCTTTAGGATGACAGATGTTTTTCTATCAAGAGACCAGCTCTGTGACATTTAAGCTAATGCTGAATACAAATGAACCCAGAAGGAAAAGTTATCATTATCTAGAACAAAATGAAAGGATTTGCAGTTAACAAGCATTCATGAGGTGAAAGCCTGGGTAGGGTACACCCCCCCCCCCTGCAGTGAATGAACAGCCCCTCTCATGTATGTAGACTGTAGCTCTCTTCACAACAACAGACACAGGGTGGTTCTTTGAAACGGGCCTTTATTGCTGGAGCTATCTTGTGAAGCATCTTCGTCTTTGTATCACATGCCAATCATGCCAACCACGCCGACCACGCCGTGAGAACTGTATTGGCAAATATATCAAGAAATATTTAAAGATAAAATCTTATACAAATTACAGAATAATTATCTGCTCAAAGAAAAGTACATTTGACATGAAACAAATACCTCGTTCACCGCTTGTCATGAAAAGAGGTTCTTGACTCATTTAAAGTCCTTGTAAAGTGTCTTTCACAGTCTGCTTAACCTTCAGACATCAGTGGTAACAGTCTTCATGCATGTTTACACAGACAAACAGTGTTTTTTAACCTTTTAGCTTAACATAGCATACATGAATTATTATTTATTTATTTATCGAATACATGAAATTATGACAATATGAAGTCAAACTTAAAGTTTTATGTAACAGCACTTACATAGACTTCTCCCAAGCCTGCAAGTGTGTGTGTGTGTGTGTGTGTGTGTGTGTGTTCATTCTGAAGTTATATCATGTGTCCCACAGATTTAATGTTATGTAAATAAAAAGGCTGGTGGGGTGCTTTAAAGTTCTATTGATTCTTGTTGGGCTCTTTATTTGATAGATATTAGATAGAGGAGGAAATCAGGAGAGAGAGTGAAATGCAGGAAAGGAGCCGCAGGTTGTTCTTAAACCCGGTCCGCCTGCTTGGAGGACTATAACCTCTTTTTTAGGAGTGCGACCTTACCACAAGGCCTTCTGTTTTGCAGCAGGTCCTTTGGGTCCTGTAGGTTGTGATATGGAGACAAAGGGGCAGAGGCATGATTAAATACAGAGAGGGACTCCTCAAGGTCTTTATGCATTTAGACCTTGATGTCCTGTGTATTTGTAGAACACATGTCTGAAAGTACTTCAACATGTTTTGGTTCTTCAGAATCACTGTTGCTACCACTGTCTCTACAGTGGATTTAACCAGCTTATATACAGACGTGTGGCATGTATTATGGTTTGAAATAATGTTGTTGAAGTGAAATGTGTATGTGTGTACAGTGGGTTTGTTTTCATTAGTATAATAACCAAGTGAAGTATTTGGTAAATATAGTTAAAAAAAGTCATGGTAACAGTTATTTTTGATAAAAAATACAAACTGAGATAAAAATATAAACTAAATGTAATGATTTGTTTTGTTTCCACTAAATATTTTCTGTTGCATTGAACTCTAAGAAATGATTCATGGGGTTAGTAGAATACACTTCAAATAAATATGTTTTTCATCATCAAACAATAAGTTTGTTACTTATACTAGATTTAGTAAGTTCACCACATTCTTAAAGGAGTATGTCAAACTCAGAGTGAAAGAACATTGTCTTCACTTATTGTTATATTGATTTCAAACAAAATGTTTCTGCATCCAATTAACATTTGTAGATATTAAGTTAGTATAACTGAATGACCTTCTCTTGTTCAATGTGTGCATCATTTCAAAGCACTCACGTGTGAATTTGCTCAGACTTGTTCTGCTGACACATCGTGTCCACCGTGTGTGAGACAGACGGGGGAGAGAAAAATCATTCACATACTCTCTAAGTAGCTATTTTCACTATTTTTCATGACTGTACCTGCACACAGTTCAAAGATCTTTTTAACACAGCTCTAAACTGAAATAAATGTGAGGTTTGTGCTAAGCTAACGTTACTGTAGCATTGACATGTTGCTAGAACTTCAGTGGCCTAGCTTTCAGTGTTTTCAATCTATCTATTGGTTGTGTCACAGAGTCAACTGAATGCTGTTACTCAGCATGCAGCTGTTTGTTTAGACACTGAAAAGGGAAGTGGAACAGTGTTTTATTTACTTATTATTTAAAGTCTGCATTAGCTTACGTTTCTCATTCATGTGTAGTTTAACCTGTGACAAATGGAGGTGATGATATTTTTGGGTTAAGTTGATGACATGTTCAAGGCAGAATGGTGAAGTTATTTTTGTGTTAAATATTTTGAAATGTTCCTTTAATACTTTCAAAATGTGACTGATTCATTGTTTTACCTGAGTTTTATAATGCTAAACAGACGTTTCTGAATCAATGTTGTACATGATAGTTGTTCTGTAAAAAATACAGACTGGTCAACACTCAGTCCTCTCCTCCCTGTAATGTACTTATTCAAATACATTGTTGTTCACAAACACTTTGAAGACATTTTTTCACCTTCTAAGGATGGTGATCCACTGCCTGGTGGTTTATCTCTGGGGGAAGGTCTTCAAGGAAACGATGGTAGGTAAATCCAGACATTAAAGTTTAGAAACACTACTTGTGTAACTTTTGTTTTAAACCATGATGACTTCAAAAAACTAACATGTGGATTCTGACGTCCTTATGCCAGGATTCTGAAGTGAAGGATACTGATGGAGATTGTTGTTACCAGAGGAGCCATAATGTGTGATCCAGCACAAAGATAGTGAAGGACCAGAACCTTAGCTGTTGGAGGAGGAGGAGGAGGAGGAGGAGGAGGAGGAGGAGGAGGAAGAGGAGGAGGAGGAGGAGGAGATCTTTGAGTTACCTCCATCAGAGCAGCTCAGTCTCCAGGACTGATCATTATCTCCAAACAAACATTCATCTCTGTCTCCTCTCCTTCTGACTCCTCTGTAACTCACTGATACAGAAACATCTCCTCTCCACTCGACCTCCCAGTAACAGCGGCCAGTCAGACCAGTCCTACACAGCAGCTGAGGATAGTAATCAAATCTGTCTGGATGATCAGGATATGACTGAAGCTTCTCCACATATGTCACCTTCCTGTTGTTGTCAGACAGTTTGAGGATTCTGTTCACTGTGTTTGTGTCCAGTTCCAGCTCACAGGCGTCTGATGGAGAGAACGAGACACAACACAGCTGCAGGTTATCATCTGTTCATTCATCAACAACTATATATATATATATATATATATATATATATATATTTGTACCTGTTTCTATTCCTGTAGTGTGTGTTCTTCTTCCTGCATTTCTTTCTTTGTGTGTACATGTGTATATTTGTCTATATTTGTCTATTATTGTACAACACGTTCTATTTATTGCATATCAGAATGTAGCCAAATTCTTTTTGATGTTTTTTCTTGCTAGAACACAGGAAATGGTAAGTATAATAATGCTTTAGAACAACACTGAAACTGTTACTTGGAGCCTGCATGAACGGGGCACAAGTAACTTTCAATGTCTGCCGTTAAGCAAGTGTACATGTTGTCTCACTAATGAATTGAACTTAGAGCCTGAAAAGACCGAAAAGACTCCTTTTTTCAGAGAAACCCACCGATTACATCGATGATTATCAGTTGGAGCCTGCATGAACGGGGCCCAACTTTTCCATTAAAAATCTGCTGGGATGCTACTCCAAGACAAACTTATAAAAAAATACAAAAAATATCATTCTCAAAATTGTACATAGAGCCTTTACAGAGAAACCTCACCTCACCACTACTTAAAGCCAATGTCAGATAAAAAGTGAACACATGAATGACTGGTCAATGTCTTTGAGAGTCTGCATGAACTAAGATGATGTTCATCTATTAATCATGTTCAGTGGGAGATTACAAAATGTTAAAATGTATGAAAATGTTACTGTTACCTTGTTGTTGTAAGATACATGAATATGTGGAGTTCATAGTTAAAGGTTTGGAGTTAAGGGGGGGGTATTTTTGACATACTCTTGCTGTATTTCCTGATTTACTTTGTTGTTAATTTTATCCCCTTTGCTTACCCTCAGGTTCAGTAACTGTACATATGTTTTCCATTGTTGTTGTATGTTTTCTCTTCGTTGTTTTATAGTTTCTTGTACGTTTGTCGTGTTATATGTTCCTACTCTTAGCCTGCACCTTGTCGTGGTGAGTGGGCTTTCAACCAAGACAGGCCGTACTAAATGTTTAAAACCAGTGTTATTAACTTATTTTCTTTCTCATGTAGTACGATGTAGGACACTAGGGAGTGTCATGGCTGTCTTTCTGTGGGCGCGATGATCCAATTAACACTCTGTGGCTGAAAGATTGCTGTTCATTCCATCTAACTCCTCAGACATGCACACCTACTCTCCATCAACTCATCAACTCAACAGTATATATACCCCGGCTCTCAATCCACTCGCCAGATCGTTCTTTCAGCTACGGTAGAATACGGTTCAGGCGTAGTTTTTGATAGACTTTTAAATACTTTCTTGTGCGAGTTTTGTTCTGATATTCATCCTGTTTTTCTTTTACTTTAGGTTCACCCACCTGCCTTCTTGGATTCAAAGCCTCTCAATCAACCAGGCTCACATCGCAACTCTGCTCTGATCAGCCGTCTCCCTTTCACTCTGCAGACCTTGTGAATCATCGTCTCATCTCCCTTCCTCTGCAATAAACCTCATTACAAGTCAACCTGTTGTTCTTATGAATTCTATGTTTTTGTTTGCCAATATAGTCTTATAAGTTAGGAATGTCTCAGAAGATATGAGTGGACGCTCCTGCTAGTTCCCATTTCTTAACCTCTTAAAATTGTAATCCATTGATTCTTTTTGATATATTATATAAATATAAATGATCTGCTTTTTAATACTTCCCTTAATTGTTAACATTAAAACTCTTCTATATTCGATGATAAAGCACATCATTTGTATAGTTTAGATGGGTAAACTAGACGATATTATGTGATATTGATCTAGGAAGACCACATTTCTGAATGATTTTTAAACATTTTTCTAATCACACATAATTAATGTAATTAACTCTGGTTGAATCTTGATTTTGATGGTTTTAAATTTGTATATGGGGACTTCTTGTGGCAGATATTGGAACAGAAAGAGCAGAAATCTCTCCACTTTACATTATTAGAGATAAAGGAAGGGTTTTTGTATCTAAAGCAAGTATCAAAAGGCATGCGCTTTACAAAAATGAAGAATACAATTCATGCATCCATGTTATCCTAAATTATTTTCATGTTGTCAGAAATAAACTAGGGACTGACAAGCCCCTTATTGGCGCCATAGATAACAGGACCACATGCAAAATATTCACAAATATTTAAAAGGGTTGGTCTGGTGTAAACCTCCTTGTGACATGATATGTTGTCAATGTTCCACATTTTAAAGAGCGATTGATTTTCCTGTATACATTTTTAGTAAGAGAATACAGTATTTTATAAATTCCTGCCTGTTTATATATGTCTCTAAATACTTACACATACACATATATATACAAGCACTTACTCACATACATATACCCATCCTCACACATACATGAATACACACACTCAAAGTGCACATATACAGTATATACATACAAACGCAAGTGCCGACCATATACTGTGGTCTGAGATATGCCGACTCCCTATACTGCAAGTCAGAGTATTGTCCACCCAAGGCTTGCTCACCAAGAAGTAGTCCAATCTGGAGTGTGAATTGTGAGGTATTGAATAGAAAGTGTAATCTTTCTCTGTCGGATGTGTTAATCTCCATATATCCACTAATGCTTGGTCTTTCATCAGAGTATTCAAAGCTTTTTCAGCTTTATTTCTACTTTTGCTTGGAGCAGAGGGCGATTTATCAATAACTTTATCCAATACAATGTTAAAATCCCCCCCCATCACGATAGGGATATCTCCCAGCGCTGAGATGTGGTTATTAATTTCATGGAACACAGTACCATCAGAATTGGGGGGCGCATAAATATTAATAAATGCCATTTGGATGTTGTTAAGAGAACCAACAGTAATGGCATACCTCCCATAAGCGTCACTTATATTTTGTGTGATGATAAAGTTAAGTTTTTTGTGAAAAAGAGTTACCACCCCTCTACTTTTGGTATCATATGTGCTGGATGACACTTGGCCAACCCATTCCCTTCTCAGTTTCATAGCTTCTTGTTGGAGAATATGAGTTTCCTGCAGAAATAATATTTGACAATTTTTACTTTTAGCGAAGTTCAGTGTTTATTTTCTTTTAATAGGCTGGTTTATCCGATCTCTGACGTTTCAAGTCATGAGATGTATTGTACTATCTCTACTCATTACTAGATGTGGCATTGTATTTATCAACTTTTGACCGCCCTTTAACAGAAAAGATACACACAAAAAAACCAATAAAATATTTACAGTCAGTTTGTTTAGAAAGTACTTGCCAGAACTTGAAGCAGAGCATCCGGTTTACTTCGGTTCTTACGATGCTGTCTCTGGTTCCTTGAACGTTGCGTTGCCCATTTTTCGTTGTTGGCGGTAAACACCTGCGCCGGGTGCGCCTGCAGCTGGTCTCCGTTGATGATACCCCTCTGGATGAGAGCCCGCCTTGCTTCATTGGCAGTGGCGTAAGTTTGGATGCCATCTTCAAAAATGACCTTCAGCTTAGATGGATATATAACATGGGATTTCACCTGTTTCTCTTTGAGTTGTTTTCTGATGGGCGCATAGAGACGCCTCTCCTGCTGCAGTTTAGCAGAATAATCATGGTCCTTCACTCCCTTCTTTCACCTGGTAGATTCTTATATTCAGCTGTCGAGATTTATTTTCCAGATATTCCACTCTGTCTGCTAGTTTTTACTTTTGTCTGTTGTTGCAGCAGGTATGTGAGGGTTTCTGTGACAGTGCCTTCTCTAAAACATGCTCTAAAATTTATTGTAGCTCAGTTGTCAGGGACATTACTGGTAGTTGTCTTTAATTATAAAGGTAAATACTCTTCCTACCCAATCATAAATTAACTGCATTAGTATTTGGTTAAAAAAAAGGTAAAAAAAAGGTAAATGTATATTCATAAGTAGAGACAAAGGAGTTCATATACATACAATAATTTGTTGAATAAAACATGAAATAAACATGTTTACAGCCTGGTACAAAAACAATGATTGTCCTCAGGGACACACACTGTACGGGGCGGGGGGGGGGTGAATGTTTTGATGACTCATCAGTTTTGATGGATAAGCGTGTAGCTGACTAAATAAAAAAACAGGTTCAACAGAAGGCTGTAAATGGAGCACTAGTTTTCCCTTATTATTGATCACAAAAATGTTAAACTTGACCAAATAGTAAAACAAATCAAAAGCAATTATAGTGTGAGGATGGCTGCCTGGTTCATAAATAAATGCAAGGCAGAAAGTGGTAAAGTTACATATTAGTTTATTGTGGTTAGCTTAGCTTATTTCATTTGGCTAGCTATGCTATTGAGAAACAGGCTTCCATTACACATTACTAGACTAAACCAAGATGAAGGAGAAACAAAAATACCATTCTGTGACAGACAGGTCTGATAGAGGAGCTGAGGCCTCCATTGTCAGGTCTTTTACATTTTTGACAGTTGAGAAGGGAACGTCTCTCCGTGAGTGGGCGTGGCTTCGCATTCCATGGACACGCCCACATCATCCCAGAGGAGACAGAACAGCTACATTTTTCATGATTTTGAAGCTTCATTTTATAAACTTATAGGTCTTTTTCGTTGCTGAAATTTGGCCTGGAGGTTCATAATACATAATAAAACTTTTTTGTTTTTTTTGGTTTACAGGGACTTTAAAGACAGTTTTAGAAAACTATTTTCTGCTCCAATATTTTGAAGCAGTGATAGAAGAATTCTTGAGTTTAAAAAAGTGAATAGTGGTGCAGTGCTGGAAAACATGAAGACAGGATTTTAAACTTTTCACATTATGTGATATAGTTATGCATTTACCATAGTTTGTGTTCATTTTTCTGTTATGTTGTTTACCAAGGGAACATTAGCTGGGATTAAAAACTAAGTGTTGGAGCATCGGTGGTCTAGCTGCTCCGCTCCCCATGTAGAGAGGTAGTTGTGCTTGCAGAGGACAGTCTGGGTTTAAAGTCAAAGAGTTGTTCAAAATAAGACGGACAGAAATCCATAGACACACAAGAGACACACAATGGGCCTCATTCACTAACAGTGTGTACGCACAAATATGTGCTTAAACTGTGCGTACGAACGTTTGAAGTACAAATCTGGGATTCATCAATATATTCTTACTTGAATTTGTTCTTATTCTGCGAACAAACACAGAACCTCCTCAGACCATGCGTACGCACAAATGATTGACCAGCTTTCTCAGAAAATGTTAACATAAATCTTTCAACTAGTCTAAATGCAAGACATTAAAAATACATTCAGTAAAAAAATATAGCCTTTATAAATATATATATTTAAGAAAGTGTAAAGATCAGCCTTACTGAAACAAATAGCAGCTGGTGCCTTCAGAAGAGAGAGCATCAGACCATCAGAACGTTTGAAGAGTGTGATGAATGACTGATCAGCTGATTCTGTCTGCCAATACACGTACTGCTGACACTCTGTAATTCACTGTAACATCATCTAAACCCCCAGACACAACCATCTTTTTCACCTTTTGGTGCCATCTCCTAAAAACTTCTCCGTGTCTCCACCTCTCCGCTCTCGTCCTGATACACCAATCGGATGTCCTTATATGGAGAGATGGGGGCGTGGCAGTATGCTGATTGCAGGTTGCGGGCACGCGCCTGTTGATTCAGAATGATTCTGATTCACTAACATACGCCTGGTGGTGAGAACAGAATATGCTGCTACGCACGTGTCATGAATCTGACGGAGATTTTGCGTATGCACTTATTTAATGCGCAGAGTGAGAACATTTCTACACACATATTAGTGAATGAGGCCCAATGAGAGGGAGGGAGACAGCAGGACAGACAGAAGTCTTAGAACAACCCTAAATGTTGCATAATATGAGCTTAAAGCTCTTAAGACTAACAAATGGAGTCGATTTGCCCTGAACAACATCAGGAAGATCAGACCTTACCTGTCAGAACTACACAGCTCCTGGTACAGGCTCTTGTGATGTCTCTACTGGCAGGTCTTCCTACAGTCACTATCAAACCTCTGCAGATGATACAAAATGCAGCAGCACGACTGGTCTTCAACCTTCCTAAAAGAGCACATGTCACTCCTCTGTTCATCTCCTCACACTGGCTCCCAGTTACTGCTCGCATCAAATTTAAAACTCTGCTGCTCGCTTACAAAACAGACACAGAAACGTCTCCTCCTTACTTTAACTCTCTGATCCAGGTCTACACTCCCTCCCCCCCACTACGCTCTGCCAATGAAAGGTGTCTGATCCAACCTTCACAACAGGGTCCTAAGTCTCTGACTAGACTCTTCTCCTCTGTCGCCCCCCGGTGGTGGAATGAACTTCCAAACTCCATGTGATCTGCAGAGTCCCTCTGCACCTTTAAGAAAAAGCTAAAGACCCAGCTCTTTATAAGTACCTACGACCTGATGATGATGGTTTAGATATTGTTGATGATGATGATGGTAATGACGATGGTGTTAAGAAGTGATTAATGTAAAATAAAGACACTGACGTCTCACTTTATGTGTATGTGGAAGGAAGAGACAGAGACAGACCGTGTGAGTGTC